CTGGATAAGCCGATAAGAGGATGGCTGGATAGAATCAGTGAAATGTGATTTCATTAGGTCTTTGTTTTCAGTACGTGTTGTCGAAAACTTTTTAAAAATGCTGCGGCCAGATTGTTAACACATTCTAGCAAGCAAGCTCATAACACTCCTATTTGTTTTAAAATTCCTGTGCTAATGTACAGGTCAGGCTCCAGATCATATATCTCAGTTTCTTACAAAATACGCTGCTGCTCACTGTCTTCATTCACGGAATCTGTTATTTGTTCTTCCTCGTACACAACTAAAGACCAGAGGGACAGCGCCTTTCAGTCTGTGGCACCAAGCCTGTGAAACAGTTTACCATCACAACCCTTTTTAGCTGACTCTGTGGACTATTTTAAAAAGCAGTTAATTTTTTTTAACAGGCTCTCTACTAAGAATTTTATTGAAATATTATTATTATTTATTTATTTTTAAACTACCTGGTTATTTTATCATCTTGCCTTTTAATAAGCAAAATTAGTGTGATCCTATCAGAGCAATGGATTTCAAAAACAAAAAGCAATTGGATTTTACAATTGGTCAAACCTTTGCATCAATGTCCATGTGTCCCTGAAAAACCACACGGCCACAGACCAAAGACATGCTGGTGATTCTAAATAAAGCGTAAACTGAGGCACATGTCATCCTCTGACAGCTGGCACAGCTGGAGAATTGGTTAAGGAAATGAAAAATGTTAAAATGTGTCCATATCTACACGCATGTTTTCAAGCTGAGGTGTAATAACAACTGAAAGATCAGCAATGAATCGTGAACAAATTTTTATTGGTTAAAATTTGGAGTTTGGTAAATTAGAGCGTGAAGTTAAAGGGCCATTTATCATAAAAAACTAATTCAGATGAGGAGAAACAAAAAAAAAAGCTTTTCTAATATTTTTCACTTCTGCTTGCAGACGCAGACTGTTCAGGAAGCTCTACAGCGGACTCTACAGTTCTACAGACAACAGGAGATCAGGTAAGGCTGGCTTGCAGTCAGTCTCTCTTTCTCTCCTTTATTGGCCTCTGGTGCGTGGAAACTTCTTCTGTCACTTGCTGTCTTTCTGCTGTCTTGTCTCCGTATCCCCGCTGCTCATTCTCTCTCTTTTTTCCTTGTTTTTCTCACTTGGCTCACTGTCACACATGTTCATACGCACACCTGTTCAGAACCTGTGAACCTTCCTCGTGTCTCTGCTATCTCCCATTCTCCCCGCTGTCTTCTCTTCCTCTGTTTCTGCCACACTAATACAAGCGAGACAGACAAACACACGCACACATACACATACATATATAGACACACACTCCTTCACCTCTTGTCTCGGGCTCTCTCGCCATCCTGCCCTGTCAAAACTGTAAGACACAGTAGAGAGGCTTCAGTCGGGCGTAACACAAGTAAGCGTTGTTCACGAAGCATACACTGCATACTGATACAGACCCTGGACTGTGACCTGGACTTCTACTGTTATTTTCTTTAACTTTCCTGACCACTCTGCTTTTCACACTTTGGCCTCAGTTGTTGTCGCTCGGTATTTTCTTGCTTTAATGAATGTACTTCATTAAGTAATTACACAAGTAATACTCATCTTGCCTCTAATTTTGGAGCATCACAGTGCATGTAATTGTGGCATAAAGATTAGGGAATAAGCTTGCGAGCAAAAGGCCTCTGAACTGTCTGACAAGTGGACAAATAAAAACATTCCTTATTTGCATTGTTGAGGTGACCTTGAGCATTTTTCCATGCCTCTCTGTTGTCCATCTGCTTCTGCTGGCTCTGCTAAGTGATCAGCAAATATGAACGTGTGCAGGGTATGCATCAGGTCACAGAAAACGCTAAAAAACATATGTACTCAATTACCATTGAAAGTCCCGAGCCAATCAGCTAGTGTCTCTGCCAAGTGTAAAGTTTGTTGGAGAAGGATTATGCTGTGGGGCTGCTTTTCAGGAGTTGGGCTCGGCCCCTTAGTTCCAGTGAAAAGAACTCTTAATGCTTCAGAACACCAAAATATTTCAGACAATTTAATGTTCCCAACTTTGTAGGAACAGTTTAGGGATGACCCCTTCCTTTTCCAACATGACTGCACACCAGTGCACAAAACAAGGTCCATTAAGACATGGATGAGTGAGTATGGTGTGGAAGAACTTGATTGGCCTGCACAGAGTCCTGATCTCAACCCGACAGAACATGTTTGGGATGAATTAGAGTGGAGACTGCGAGCCAGACTTTCTCGTCCAATATCAGTGTGTGACCTCACAAATGTGCTTCTGGAAGAATGGTCAAAAATTCCTATAAACACACTCCTAAACCTTCCAAAATAGTGCAAATGTAATTTCTCATCACGGAGACCATTCATGACGAACCACCATAACTTATGTGTTTGGTTTGTTTCCTTTACAGGTGTCAGGAAGTTGGAGGGGAGAGACGAGAGGAGAAATGTCCATTTCTAGAGAATTCTGGTTCAGAGGAGGATGTTCTACAAATCCTCCAATACATGGCCACCATACTGGGTAAGTATATGAGATAAAGGTAGATGGGAGTGTGTTTGCCACAGATCCTGCCTTTGTGTTTTTTTCCCTCCCCATTTGCATGTCCTTCAATATTAACATAGTTATTTGTGCATGTACATACACAGAACCATCCCCCAGAGGCTTGACTTGGAAAATACATTATAGACACTTCTAAGCCTTTTAAAGGAGATGCGGTATCATGGGTAGTGTGCATGCAGTCGCAAATATACAACTATTTACAAGGATAAGCAAACACACACCACCACACACTGTATGACTCACTATGGGGGCTTCTACTGTCTCCAATGCCCAGCATCAAACACACACGCACACACACGTGCATGCACGCACGCACGCACGCACACTGTCCCGGTGAGTCACTCAGTACAGCTTCTTCTTCCCTCTGTTACATCTAAGATCTCTTCCTGCCTCCATCTACAGTCTCGTACGTCCTTTGAGTCTTTTTAAAAAAAAATTTAATGTTCTGATTTTCTGCATTTTCTCGGTAAGCCAGTGTTACAGTATGGCGTTTATGTCTGTTTTGGGAAGGTGTTTGCCTATGCAAATGTGCTAGCATGCAGTCTTCCAAAAAAAAAAAACAAACCCAGTGACACTTCGCTCAACGTGGATGACGCTGTGCATAGGTCGAATGCTTATTGGCTAAAAAAATTAGCCTTAATAGGAAAGAAAGTGACAGTGGAAAAAAGTAGCATAAAAAGCAAAGACTTTGTTCGTAGTGGACACATTTCAATGTTTTTTGCACTCAGTTTAGCTTAAAGACTGCTTATTTCAGACACTCCCCCGTGGTGACAGTATATAGCTATTATGTGTTCACTGGCTTTAGAAGCTATCTGTACACTCTGCATGGGTCCAATTCAAAGCAGTGTTTTAACCATTACCACCACTATGTTCATAACGTTGACTCTAGCGATAGCAGTAAAAAGTAATTCTTCTCGCATCCTACCCTTAGAATTACTAGTTAACCTAACCTCACTAACCTCACTAGATTCCCAAAGTCCAAAGACTGTGGGAATCTAGAGTACCCAGAGAGAACCCACACAAACAAGGGGAGAACCTGCAAACTCAACACAGGTGGTGGAATGGAACTCAGGACCTTCTTGGTGTTAGACAACAGTACTAACCACCATATCCTTTAATTTCTGTAATGAGCAAGAACGCATTCATGCATTCTTTTTATGCCACTTTCTGATAAAAGCATCCAGCTCATTAATACTCTTTGGTTTCTGTGCTGCCAACCCACCAACGATTTTCAGTGAGAATAAAAGCTGAAGTCAGAGACATCAACTCAAGGATATTTGAGGAATGATTTCTAAACTTTGGGCTGATTCAACTCTTCAGTTTACACTTGGAGGGAAATGGATTCTGTAATCAAATCAATCCAAGTTTTATGTACTTCTTGGCCAAAAATGTACTCTGCTGTGGTCTCCAGCTGTGACATCCATATAGTCTATACTCAAACTTTTGTCCTCACCATGCCTCTCCTTTCCCAGCAAAACTGGCAGTAATTTCATAATGCTCCTAATAGAAAAACTGGAGCTAAGCTAAGGCATCGTCCATCATTAGCTTTCTTTCCTCATAGATCACTAATGGCGTTTCACTAAGGTGCCCCATTTTTTTTAAAGGAAACATTTACAAAACCCCATTTAGGCCTCTTTTATCTGTGATTTCATTCTTTTGGTCATCATCCTGAGCGCATGACTGTTGGAAGAAGAGTACAAATCAGCTCATAAATAACTGATACCTGTATCATGGTTCATCTTAATAATAATAATAATACATTTTATTTATAGAGCTTTTCAAGAACAGCCAAGGACATGTACAAAAAAGCGAACAAAAAACAAGTAAAGGAGAACTAATTAGTGTTTAGATTACGCAGTTGTGTCACATAAAGCGAAACACTGAGGCCTACAGAGGATTTGGCTTTTGCTTGGACAACTGGAATATACTCTCAGGCACAAGAGTACCAAAATTTCTTCTGTTACGTCAGAAGACGATATTAATCTCTAATCTGGATTCACTGACTGTGCTGTTCGCAGTTTTGTTTTTCTGTGAGCCTGTTTAGTCGGAGCTTATGATGTCTTTAATGATACTTCACAAATTCTGTGGATTTTCTTCCATATTTATTTATTTATTTTTTAGTTTTATCCTGTTTTGAGGTTTTATTTACGTCAAATGTCGCTTTGACTTTTTTCTAATCTTTTAATCCCATTTTTTTTCTGTCACTCAACAAGCACCCGACATGTTTATTTTATTTTATCTGTATTAATTATTTTAGCACAGCTTTGATGTTTGATTACTCAAAACACTGATTTTCTCTGCTCGATATCCCTGAAATGATTTTTTCTGCTGGATTTAAATCTCGATATACATACCATGGAGCAAAGATAACGTTGGGTTTTATATAAATTGCCGCTGTAACAGAAAATCATACTCGTGTAGGCATCAAAACATTAAAGTGCATATTTCTTCTTCAAAAACCGGAGAGTATCTTCTCCAATATGTTGATAGTTTAGCTGTTTAGTTCACTGTCTATGATATCAAAACTATGTTTACATCCTCAGAAGAGTGCAATACAGCATGGCTGACACTGGTGTTTCTCATCCCCCTGTCCCAGGAGTACCATTCTGTGAGCTGCGAGAGCATTTTGGAGAGGAGTTCTTTGGTCTCTGCTTTGAAGAAAATGAACGTGTACTTCGGGCTGTGGGTGGCAACCTCCAGGATTTCTTCAATGGCTTTGACGCCATTTTGGAACACATTCGCACCTCTACGGGGCGCCGTGCCTCATCTGAGAGCCCCTCCTTCCAGTGTAAGGACCCCCGTGAGGAGGACAAAGGCAGAAGAAAATTGGACAAAGTTGGAGATCAGGCAGAAAGAAATGGAGGAGGAAAAATATTGGTTCTTCATTGCTTCAACCCTGCCCCTGTTGTCGGGTTGGTCATGCCGGGGTTGATCAGAGCTGTTGCCAGGCGTATCTTTCATTCACAAGTGGAGGTGGAAGAGGTGCCCCCTCTAACTCCCTTGTTGCCCAATAAAGATGCAGAAAACACAGACTGTGACTCGACGACCCCGACCCCGACCGCGTCTCCCACTGCCTCACCCTCCTCATCCCCATCCCCTCCCTCTCCTTTCCCGACCACTGCTCCGACAGTTTGCCTGTCCTTCCAAATCCAGGAGACCAGCCCTCTTTGCATCTCTTCCCTCCCCAACGCCGCCTCGGCGACCGCTAAACGACCCCCCCTCTCGATGTCCACCAACCCCAGCGATCTGCGCATTGGCCTGGCCACGTTTTGCCGTGCCTTTCCGTTTCACCTTGTCCTGGGGCCTCACATGGAGCTACTGCAGCTTGGGGAAGGACTGAGGAAACAGACTCGTATAGAGACTTACCGGAGCCTCTCGTTCAGGGACTGTTTTGAGATTGTCTCACCTAAGATGGATCCCTCATTTCAAGGCATCCTACTGAGGCTTGCATCCCCATTTACTATCCGTACCAGGCCTGACACCACACAAGCGGACATCAAGGAGAAGGTAAAGCTATCCTACATGGAAGATTAACTCCAGATTCCAAGTTCTTAAGTAATGAGGTCACTATTGTCATGTATTAATCAACACATCCTAAAAATCTAACCATGCCATGATTTTATTCCAGATGCATGTGCTGTCTTTTTTTGCCACAGACACAGAGATTGTTAACAAGCATGATGCACTTGTTGGAACAGCTTACATTCTGTATCACTGTTAAAACAAACATGGCTGAAAAATGGCACTGCCTTTAGATCAGTGAACTGTGGCTTAGTTTTGGGCAGACTGATCCATGTTTAGCCTGATTAGAAGAGCATGCACTCTTTGTCATGTCCCAGCGTAGGGCTTTATGCACCGTGGAAAAAATGGAATCTTTGTTTTGCCTTGGTATCACATGAAAGCTTCCAGTGTTTCCTCTAAATTAGTGCAAGAAGGCCACAGTTTTATTGTCTTTATAGTTACAAATTTCCCCAGATACCGATTAGTTTAATGTGTCCTAAGTCAAGGCTGAATTTAGTATTGCTAAATTTGAACTTCACTGTCTTGTCTTTCATCTCCCCCCCAAAAAAGTAGTCATGTGTTAGCAGCACTTTGTTTGTATTGAACTCTATTCCACGTCATCACAACAACGCCCACAGGCTTGTAATGATTTTGCTCAGGAGAGGTGTGGTTTGAATTGGTTCCAGTTTGCGAGAAAGAATTAATCAGTGGGATTTGTGTGCTATATCCAGCTCTCTATCGATTAGATGGTCTCCACAGGTCGCCAGCAATAGCACCAAACACCCTGACGCTAAACAGAATCGACAGAGAAGAAATTAATCAGAGCAGCCACGGTGCTGCGCAGTGTATGTGTGATTGTGTGTTTGTGTAGAGTGAGTGAGATAGGTATGTCTTGAGCTAAAGCTGCAGAGAGGTACATTAATTTTATAGATTCATATCTACCATATCCGCAAGTCATGAGATATTTACATCTTTGATCCACCTTGAAGCTGAACGCTAGTTTCTGATCATTTTGGATACAAATTTCTTCCCATTCACCTCGAACCAAAGGCTTGAGCATGAAAAAAAAACTGTGATTTAGGTAAATAAGTGATATTTGTTTGATTTTAAATCATTTGGAGGGTTGTTTTCATATTTATGCGTTTGTCCTGTTCCTCTGCTGTCCTTTTAAGCAGTTGCTTGTGTAACAGGTGGCTTATTCTGTGTTCAGATGAGAGATGAGATGATTTTAATGAGACAGTGCCAGGACTTATGCAGGCAGACTGTTTTGGCAATTCTAAGCACAGATGCTATTTTTACTCTTGTAGGCAAAGCAACACCATGAGCAAAAGGGTGGGTGAATATAGATGGTGTGGAAGATATGGAAAGAAATCTTTACCTATTGGCTTTGTAGCGGGTGCAATAGCTGGGGCAATGAAATGACTACATGTATCATATATAGTGGCAAGTTAAATGAATGGCAATGTGAAGCTATAGTTAGTGGCACACAATGTGTTTAAAATCTCACCATGTTATGCTCCTTGTCTAAGCACTGTTTGCTCTAGTCATTGCCCTGGCACGGCAGCTAGCAGTTAAAATTCATTTTTAAACTAAACTGACATAAATATTTCAATAAAAATACCTGTATAAATAATTGAAAATCATAGAATTTGTTTTACTTTTATGCAAGACGATAAGTGGGTACATCAAGGAAGTCATACTCATTTTACATCATGGGCCACTTTGATCTTAAGTGGGCTGGACCAGTGAAACTAAATGATAGGCGTGCAAGTTCTGGTAGCTGGTAGCTCATTGCAGAGACTTTTCTGCAATTACAAAAGTTTTCATGAATTCACTGAAAATGTCCTTTTTTTAAAAAAAAAAGTCATGGAGTGACAATTTTAAGAACTACTGCCCTTAATTACCACATTTCAATACTGTAATAATTTCTTAAAATAAAGCACTTATTTGGGCATGGTTGTTGTCTGAAAAATGCAAGCTGCAATGTAGATGCTAAGATTCATATATAGAAGGTTCCGTTTAAGTGTTGTTAGTCTTGCTTTGGCCAGTTTTAGTTCTTGATCCATTCATTTGCACAGCTACACAGGTTCATGTCCTGGACACGCGTATGCAGAGGCACACAATAACAATGAACCGCAAAGTCCACATTCCACATGCCCTCAGCAGTCGGATCCCCCCTCTTCACAGTCAGATCTCAAGCACCACTACAGCGTCTCCTCTCAAGCTTTCATCTTCTCTCTGTCAGTGTCTCTTAAAAATTCACTGTAATTCTCTCTCCCTCTCTCTCCTTCTCTGCTGCTTACTGAGGTCTGTCTCTTCCTTCACAAAGCTTTTCTGCTTCTTATCTCCAAGCCTTTTCATTTTCTTCCATTTCTTCCATTTTCAATTAAAAAATGCAGCTATAATTGCTTCAAAAATGCCAGATGCATCTGATTGGCAAAGCACAAACATAAGTTACTGATTGGTGCTACGAGCAAAAGATTGCGTGTGAAATCAGGTTTAAAATCATCCACAGTCCTCTGGTCGAAAAAGGTATTTTAGCACATCCATGTTTACTTCAGAGTCAGTGAGGCTTCCTTCTGTGTGCGTCACCAGTGACCAAACCTGGCACTGCTGAAATTTAAGTTATATATCATCTCCAAACTCCAAATACTATTTGCTAGAGACTTTAAAATATGTGTTTCCAGAGCAGGCAAATGTAGTTTTTCCCAAATTTTTGCCCGGTGAATCTTGTGTCACCTGGGCAGACAGGCAGAAAAAAAACGAGAGGATGGGCTGACATTTTCACCAGAAAGGGCAGACAGTGAAGGCGACAGGCCAAGGTAAAGAGGCCTCACTCCAGTGCCGTGCAATGTGTGTGCTTGTTTGGATGGCCTTCACTGAATTTTCAGTTTGACTTCTTTCCTCTCTTCGCCCAGGGATATGTGCTGTGCAAGAGACCTACTGAAAAGGTCAGCTTGGTCTTTGTGCGCAGCGAACACTGTGGTCAACACACTGAGTGCAAACAGAGTGCACTCTTATATACTCACCTCTAACCGATGCATCATCGCCTTCGTCATGTTTCTCTCACACTGAAGTTTACGTCTGCCTCTTAGTAGGGGTGGGCGATATATGATTGAAACAATATAAATTTGGCCAACAATAGAGATTTTGACTATACCGCTCTATCGTGATAGCGCATGTTGATGATGTCATCAAGCTGCGGCTGTTTTGGTCGAAAGCATCGCAGCGGCTACAACCATTAATAACTAACCTTGTATTGTGGATGAATAATCTCAGTTTTTCTCCTGACTGAAGTTTGGCCCGTGTATAGCATCCTGCTATGCGATTGCATTTGTCCCTGACCACCAGAATCCCTCACGTTAACTTGAGGGTTGGCGTTCATCCTCCAGCTTCACTGTGCTAATGTTATGCTAACATAGCTGTGTCGCTAGCAATCACATAGCACATTATATACCAGGTAGTCCAACTTCAGTAACCCTGCAAACACCAATGCTGTTTAGTTTTCTGTCTTCATTTATGTTGGAAGTGGTAGCAGAGCTGTACGTTTTAATTAGTTTCAAAAATCTCTCAGTCAGAACATGGTATGTCACGTTTAGGTGGAAACTAGCGAGCTAACTTCCTGTTAACTTGTAACTCCATTAAAATTAATAAATTCTGTTTTCATGGATGCCTGGATGTTAAACTTAATTGTTACACCTGGTAAAGCAGCAACACTGATGATTTAATAAAGATGAAAGAATTTAGACCATTTTTAACTCTCAGTGTTCGTTTGACTTTGGGACCTGAAACGGACGGAGTTTTGGACCCAGATTACTCCGCGAAGCTCCTCACTACGGCAGCCGTAATGCTTTGACAATCCATCAAGCAGTGCAGCTTACCAAAGTTGTACTAAAACATTTTTTAACAGATTTCTGCACGCCCCAATCAGTTCTAGGTCAGTAAGCACAACCAGAATTTATACATAAAGCACACTCTCGATTTTTGAGAAAATTAAAAGATTTTAAGTGTGCCTTATAGTGTGGAAAATACGTTATACAGAAGAAAATAATATATCACGATATATATCGTTACTGCACGTGCTTCAAATTATACCGCGATATAGATTTTAGCCATGTCGCCCAGCCCTACCTCTTAGATTATTTGGATTTCTTGTTTCTAATTTGGAATAAGTACATATGCATTTAGTATGGTGCATTTTTCTTTTCTTCATACAGAAGATAGAGCTCTCTTGAAACATCTGTGTGAGAGGTCAGACAGTGAAACACAGTGACAATGCTCCCAGTCTTAATAATGTGGTGAGACTGAGACTGTCCTGTACAAGAAACCAGTTTAAGTGACACAATGCTTTATCCTGCTGGAAGCAACCGTCAGAAGATGGGTACACTGTGTTGATGAAGTGACGGACATGTTCAGCATTGATACTCAGGTAGGGTGTGGCATTTAAATGATAGTCAATTGGTACTGAGGAACACAAACTGTTCCAAGAAAATATCCCCTGATGCTATCATCCGAATGTTGCAGCAGAAATGGAGAGTCATCAAAACAAGGCAATATTTTTCCAGCCTTCTGTTGTCTGCTTTTTGGTGAGTTGTGTGAACTGTAGCCTCAGTTTATTGTTCTTAGCTGACAGAAGTGGTTCCCTGTGTGGTCTTCTGCTGCTGTAGTTCATCTGCTTCAAGTTTCAATGTGTTGCGAGTTCACAGATCTGTTCTGCACACCTTGGTTGTAACGTGTGGTTGTATGAGTCGCTGCTTCTTTCCTATCTGCCCAAAGCAGTCTAGCCATTTGCCTCTTACCTCTGACATCAACCAGAGAAATGAAGCTCGCATTTCTCATTTTCTGGCCACTTTCTGTAAACTATAGTCATGGCTATATGAAAAAAAAAAATCCCAATAAATCAGTGGTGTATGAATGATAGAACAGCTTCACTTTAACAGGCTGCTGAAGGGATTCCTGTTAAATATCTCATGTCTGAGAAAGGTTGGCAGGTTTGGTGGTATTTT